ATATCTTGATTATTTCGTCATAGTATTCATTGATGATATATTGGTGTACTCATGCAACCAGAAGGATAATGAGCAGCATATGAGGATTGTACTCCAGACTTTGAGGGAGAAGAAGTTATATGCTAAATTCTCCAAGTGTGAGTTTTGGCTTGATTCAATGGCGTTCTTGGGGCACATGGTGTCCACTAAATGGGTCAAGGTGAACCCAAAGACTATTGAGGCAGTTTAGAGTTCGCCTAAACCGTCTTCAACTACGGAGATTTGGAGCTTCCTAGGTTTGGTAGGTTACTATCATTGTTTCGTGGAGGGTTTCTCATCCATTGTTGCACCTTTGACTATATTGACCCGAAATTTTGGCCCATTCAGATCGTCTGAGGAGTGTGAGGAGAGCTTTTTGAAGCTCAAGACTGCATGGCCACAGCCCCAGTGTTGGTATTACCTACAGGTTCAGGATCTTACATAGTGGATTGTGATGCATCGCGTATTGGACTTGGCGTGGTGTTGATGCAGGATGGTAGGGTGATTGCCTATGCTTCTCGGAAGTTGAAGTTTCATGAGAAGAATTACCTTGTGCATGACTTGGAGTTGGCAGTTATTCTTCACAGACTGAAGATTCGGAGGCACTATCATTACGGTGTTCATTGTAAGGTCCATGCCGACCATCGGAATCTCTAGCACCTGTTCAAGCATAAGGATTCTTAATTTTCGTCAGCAGAGATTGTTAGAGTTGCTTAAAGAATATGATATCACTATATTATATCATCCGAGGAAGGCCAATATGGTGGCCGATACTTTGAGTACTATCGGAATCTCTATCACCTGTTCAAGTAGAAGGATCTTAGTTTCTGTCAACAGAGATGGTTAGAGTTGCTTAAAGACTATGATATCACTATATTATATCATCCATGGAAGGCCAATATGGTGCTGGCAACTTGTCATATTAACCAATAGCAGAGAGGCCACTAGCCATGGATGTTTAGGCCTTGGCCAATTAGTTTGTGAGATCAGATGTCTCGGAGCCTAGTCATGTTCTTCTTTGTATTGTGGCACAGTCATCATTGTTGGAGCATATCAAGGCTCGCCAGTTTGATGATCCTCACTTATTAGTGTTAAAAGATATGGTGCATCGGGATGGTGCCAAGGAGATTATGGTTGATGATGATGGTTTTATGCGGCTTCAAGTCCGGATTTGTGTTCCAAATGTTGATGGGTTGAGAGATTTCTTACTTGAGGAGGCTCATAGATCGGGTTATTCATTCACATAGGTGTTATGAAGATGTATGGTGACTTAAAACAACATTATTGGTGGCAGAGAATGAAGAAAGATATCGTTGCTTATGTCTCTCGGTGTTTGAATTTTCAACAAGTGAAGTGTAAGTATTAGAAACCGGGAGGGTTGATTCAGAGATTGGAGATATCGGAGTGAAATTGGGAGCATATTACCATGAATTTTGTTGTTGACCTCCCATGGTATTTGAAGAACTATGACGTAGTCTGGGTTATTGTGGACCGGTTAATTGAGTACGCACACTTCATTTCGATGGTGACTTCATATTCTGCGGAGCGGTTGGCTCAGATCTACAACCAGGAGATTATCCATTTTCATGGCGTGCCCATTTCCATCATTTCTAACTGAGGCACACTGTTCACATTACGGTTTTAGATAGCAGTGCATGGGATTTGGGCATACGGGTTGAGTTGAGTACAACATTCATCTTCACAGACGGGCAGTCCGAACACACTATTCAGATCTTGGAGGATATGTTACGTGACTGTGTTATGGACTTCGGAGGTTCATGGTATTAGTTTCTTCCGTGAGCAGAGTTCGCCTACAACAATAGGTTTCAGTCGAGTATCTAGATGGTTCTTTATGAGACCTTATATGGGAGGAGATGTCGTTCTTTAGTTGGTTGGTTTGAGCCGGGGGAGGCTAAGTTTTTGGGGCCCGATTTGGTCTGTGATGCCTTAGAGAAGGTAAAGTTGATCCAGGAGCAGCTCCATTCAGCATAGTCCAGACAGAAGAGTTATGATGATAGATAGGTTTGTGATGTTGCTTATATGGTGGGTGGGAAGGTTTTGCTAAGATATTCACCCATAGGGTGTGATGAGGTTCGAGAAGAAGGGCAAGTTTAACCCTCAATATATTATAGACCTTTTGAGGTGTTTGAGAGGATTAGAGAGGTGGCCTACAAACTTGCCTTGCCCCCTAGTTTATCGGGGTGTTCACCTAGTGTTTCATGTTTCTATGCTCTGGAAGTATTATGGTGATCTGTCACATATTTTGGACTTCAGCACGGTTCAGTGAGGTGGGGATTTGACTTATGATATGGATCTAGCCATTTTAGATCGGCATGTTCGAAAGTTAAGATCAAAGAATGCATCAGTAAAAGTAATGGAGAGGTCAGGCGGTCAAGGAGGCTACTTGGGAGACCGAGCGGGAGATGCGGAGAAGTTATCCACATCTATTTGAGACTCCAGGTATGATTCTAGACCGGTTCGAGGACGAACATTTGTTTAAGAGGAGGTGAATGTAACAACCCAATCAGTCGTTTTGTGTATTATAGCCCCGTTCCTATGTTTATTGCTATTATATGTTCATTTGTTGTTATATGACTTGCCAGGGTTATTGGTTTAGTTTCAAAGATGTTTCGAAGTGAATTGGGACACTTAGTCCCAAGGTTGGAAACTTAAGTTGAAAGAGTTCATCGGAGTTTGACTTTTGTGTAGATGACTCCGGAATGGAGTTTTGATTGTTTCGATAGCTTTATATGGCAATTTTGGACGTAGGCGTATGTCCAAATTTGGATTTGGAAGTCCGTAGGTTGATTTGTTGCATTTTGGCAAAAGTTGGAGAGTTGAAGGTTTGGAAGGTTGAGGGGTGATAGTTGACTTTATTGATATTTGGTTTGAATTTCGGTTCCGGGAGTTCGAGTAGGTCGGTTATGTCATTTGTGACGTGTGTGCAAAATTTGAGGTGAAATTGGTTTGATATAATTCAGCATTAGTTTTAGAAGTTGGAAATTCATTAGTTTCATTAGGCTTGAATCGATGTGCGATTGGTAGTTTTGGTGTTGTTTGATGTGATATGAGGCTTTGAGCGAGTCCATCGTATTTTAGAACTTGTTAGTATGTTTGGATAGGGTCCCGGGGGCTTGGGGTGAGTTTTTGGAAGGTTATCGTATTAATTTTTAGACTTAATGCATTGCTGGAGGTGTAAGGCTTCTGGTGTAATCGCATATGCGGTGGGCTAGACCACATATGTAGAGCCGCATGTGCGACTATGGGCTCGGAGAAGCGACGCGTGGAGGCCTAGAGGAAGTCCTCAGGTGCGGACAAATTTATCGCAAGTGCGGAGATGGCTAGGGCTGTTGAAGGTCGCAGGTGCTAAGATGGACCGCATTTGCGAGTCTACAGATGCGGATTAGGACCGTAGAAGCAAAGAAGGCCAGGCAAGGCTAGGGACCACAACTGCAGAGGAGGTTCCGCAGGAGCGGACCCGCAGAAGTGGGACTTAAGCCGCAGGTGCGCAACTTTGACCCCAGAAGCGGAAGTATGGGGAGCAAGTGTGAGAATGCTGGATAGGTTAGTAAAAGAGGGTTTTTATTATTTTCTTATTTCTGGAATTGCGGGACTCGGTCTAAGGCGATTTTCGGAGCATTTTCCATCCCAATTAAAGTGGTAAGTGATGTTTATTCAATTTTGGTATTAGATATTCATCTATTTTTCATGAATCTAAGATAGAATTTGGGGATTTTTGGACTATGTTAGTGGAGAGTGAAATTTGAGGATCTGAGAGTCGATTTGTAGGTGGAATTGGATGATTTTGGTATGGTTGAACTAAAAATTAAATGGGTGTTCGAAATTAGTGAATTTTGTCGGGTTCCGAGGTGAGGACCTGGGGTTGCCTTTTTGGGTTAACTTTTTGACTTGATTAAAGATCTTAGCTTTATCTTTTGGAATCGCTTCCTATCGAGCTAGATTCGAGCTGTTCGCAGATTGATACGCGCGGGAAGGGCTTGTTAGAGGAGTGATTTGGCTTGCTTGAGGTAAGTATCTTACCTAAAATTGGTTGAGGCACTAGTTGCCTGAATTATTTGTGATTGTTACGTGCTATGGGTGCGCATATGTATGGGGTTTGAGTCCATGTACGAGCCCCGGGTTATTTATTCATATTCGGGGTAGTGCTTAGGCTATAATATGCATTGAGTTGACCGTTAAGCTTTAAGCTGTAATGTTTCTCATATTTGTAACATTGTTGTGACTATTTGAGCCACGTTTGAGGCTACATAGAGGCTAAATCACTGAATAAACTTGATAAATTCTATTTTTGTGACCACGCCGGACGAATTATATTGTTATGCCTGTAACTACACCCGGAGGATTGTATTGTTATGCATGTGACTATGCCAGGCGAATTGTGATATAGCATGTGACCAGGCCGGGCGAATCCGTTATATTGAGCATGTGACTATGCCGTGCGGAGTATTACATCGAGTCTGTGGCCACGTCGGGCTAGTAGCACATTGAATTAGTCGTGCTTGCATGTGGATATGAATCCATCCCCCGAGGGTCACCCTCTCATGTTTCTCTCTTGATGGTGTACTCGCAGATATTGGGAAAAAATGGTTAGTGGTTTGGTACGGAGATGGAAGGGTTGAGGAAATCTGGCCAGTGCTTTGTTTAGATTTTGCATTTCATCTTTACTTGAAAATTTCCGTGGTTAATTACCTGATTCATGTACATATTATCTTTATATGTTGTATCATTGACTGAATAGAGAACTTGAGAAATTGCACACACATACTCAGAAGGTTCTTTCCGTGTGTTATGACTTGATTGCATTACTGCTCTGTACTTGTTAAATGGATAAAATTATACAGGTTATAGAAAGTGTCATTTATAATTCTCGCTTTTTTTTAACTCGCCGAGGCTAGTTACGATACTTATTGAGTATATTGGATCGGTTGTACTCATACTACACTTTGCACTTAATTGTGCAGATCCAGGTGTCGGTACCAGCGATCAGTAGCAGAGTTGCTTGTTGAGTGGAGTATTGAGAGACGAGGTAGAGCTGCATTTCCGGCCGTCTTGACTTGTCTTTTCTTATGTACTGTTATTTCAGTTCATAAGGTATTGCTATTTAGTTTTCAGACTTTTATTCCATTGTAGAGCTCACGACTCCGTATTTACCAGTTTTTGGGTGATTTATCTTGTATTAGCATTATTTTGTTATGTTGAGATTTCAGACTTATGTTATTCCTACAATTTTTGTTATTTTGGTTCTTTATTATATTATGTCCGGCTTACCTATTAAGTGTGTTAGGCGCCATCATATTAAATGGGATTTGGAATCGTGACAAGCTTTACCATGTTGTCATAATTTTACAACTACGAACAAAGAAGATGAAAAATACATGTCAGAAAGGTAGAAGTTGGATTCTAGCTGTAGGCAGAGAATTCACCTTTCTCTATCTTTTTATCTGTCTTTTTTCTTTTCAATAGTTAGTACGCTGTCGTACTGAATGCCGTATTTATCATGGCTTTCTAGGAGTCGAAATAAAAATAGTTATAGATATAGGACAAAGAAATACAGAAAATAATTTTGTTTGTGTTAAATCTACCATTGTTGACTGGTGGTTAACCACAAGTGAGAAGAAAATGAAGACTGTGAATGCAGAACAGTTGCAATATCTGTGTATTGAGAGAGAACTTGTCTAATTACAAGTGGTGTATATCTGATATACACACGTGTATATATACATGTATACAGCTAACTAACTCCTCTTAATTACTACTAACAATCTTCCTAATTTCTGTTATAACTAACTATTAACAACTAATTACCCATAAGCTAGATCCACTAATTTCCAGCTAGTTTCCAGCTGTCATTGCAGCACTTCAACACCCCCCTTCAAGCTAGAGGGTGTGAAGATATTCAACACCCCTAGCTTGGATAACAAATGATAGTGCTGCATGCTTCCAAGTCCCTTTGTCAAAATGTCTGCTTCTTGCTCTTCTGTTGGCACATACTCAGGGTGTACCATTCCTTGTTGCACCTTTTCTCTTATGAAATGGCAGTCAACTTCTATGTGTTTTGTTCTTTCATGAAACACAGGGTTGCTAGTTATCTGCATTGTTGCCTTGCTGTCTGTAAACAGTTGAACTGTGACATCAATGTTGACCTCCAACTCCTTGAATAAGCCTAGTAGCCATATGAGTTCAGCTACTGTCAGGGCCATGCTCCTGTACTCTGATTCTGCTGAGCTTCTTGCTAGTGTGTTTTGCTTCTTTGACTTCCAAGCTAACAAAGAGTTCCCCAGCTTCACCAAGTACCCTGTTACAGATTTCCTTGAGTTTGGGTAGCTTGCCCAGTCTGCATCACAAAATGCTCTTAAGACTGTACTCTTTTCTGCACTCATCAACACTCCTAATCCTGGCTCATTTTTCACATACTTCACAATTCTGTAGGCTGCTTCAAGGTGTGACTTCTTAGGGGACTGCATAAATTGACTCAAGGTCTGCACACTATATGCTATGTCTGGCCTGGTTAATGTCAAGTAAAGCAGCTTCCCAACCAGCCTTTGATATTCTCTTACATCTTCTAATGTTGTATCATCACTGAGTTCACAGTACTGATCATATTCAGCAGTGGAAAGTTTCTTGTTCTGCTCCATTGGAGTTAAGGCAGGCTTGGAACCTGATAATCCTAACTCTGCAATCAGCTCCAGGGCATATCTTCTTTGGCAAAGCAAAATCCCCTGTTGTGACCTGCACACCTCTATTCCTAGGAAGTACTTCAGAGTTCCTAGGTCCTTCATCTTGAAGCTATTTTGTAGAGTATTCTTGGCTTCTTGAATGAGACCAGCATCATTCCCTGTAATAAGAAGATCATCCACATACACAAGTATAATAACTTGTCTGTTGTGCTTCTTCAAGATGAATAGGGAATGATCATGTTTGCTTTGTTGGAAACCAGCTTGTATGAGTGCATTAGAGAGCTTAAGGTTCCACTGTCTAGATGCTTGTTTGAGGCCGTATAGGGATTTGAGTAGTCTACATCCTGTATTCCCCCCTTGGATACCAAATCCAGGAGGCAATTGCATGTATACTTCTTCCTCAAGGTCACCTTGGAGGAAGGCATTGTGAACATCCATCTGAAACAATGGCCATTGATGCATGGCTGCTAAGGCAATGACAGTCCTGATAGTTATCATTTTAACCGCAGGGGAGAATGTTTCTTGATAGTCTAACCCCTCTTGTTGACTGTAACCTTTTGCCACTAATCTAGCTTTGTACCTTTCTATTGTTCCATCTGATCGATGCTTGATTTTGTATACCCACTTGCAACTAATAGGAACCTTGCCTTTAGGAATAGGAACCACCTCCCATGTGTTGTTGCTGATTAGTGCATCAATTTCAGCCTGCATAGCATCTTTCCACCTCTGATCCTTCATTGCCTGATGGTATGATGTAGGTTCAATATCTGTTGTCACTGCAGTAAGATAGCTTTGATAAGCATTACCTAGTGAGTCATAACCCAGGTAGTTGGACATAGGATATTGACAGGTAGAAGAGGAAGTTTTCATAGTTGGACATATATAATCCTTGGCCCATATTGGTGGTTTGGACCCTCTGCTGGTTCTTCTGGGCTGCATATGTGATGTTGCCTCATGAGCTATCTCAGTGGCCTGGAACCCCTCAGCATCATTTTTAGGTAAGTCAGCGAACTGAGGTATTGTAGCATCATGCTCAGCATGTAGTTGATCTAGGTCCTGACTAGGAGTTTGCATATCCTGAGCAAATGTATGTTGTTCTGTTACACAGTACCTATTTGCTTCATGAAATAATGGAGGTATTTTTCCTTCTTTCATCATCAAGAATGGGAACATATCCTCTCTAAATGTGACATCTCTGCTGATAAAGAACTTCTTGTCCTTGAGACTGTATAATCTGTATCCCTTTTGAGATGTGGAATACCCCATATGGACTGCTGCTACTGCTCTAGGAAGAAGTTTATCATGCTCCCTGATAACTGTAGCAAAACAAAGACACCCGATGACCCTTAAGTGTAGTAATGAAGGTGGTGATTTGGGAAAAACCTCATATGGTAATTTGCCACTTAGTACAGAAGATGGCAATCTATTTATCAGATACACAGCTGCCAGGACACAGTCTCCCCAGAAATGAAGTGTTATGCCACCTTGTAATCTTAGTGCCCTTGCCACCTCTAAGATATGCCTGTGTCTCCTTTCCACCACTCCATTTTGTTGTGGAGTGTGTGGACAACTACTTTGATGTAATATCCCATTGTCTGATAGAAAGGTTGGGCATTCAGAACTAAAAAACTCAACTCCATTATCAGTTCTAAGACATTTAACATTGTGGTTAAACTGCACATTCACCATTTTGATAAAAGACTTCAGAAGCATAAGAGTACCACTTTTCAATTTCATTAAGAACACCCAAATCATCTTAGAATGATCATCTACCAGTGTCAAGAAATATCTATTTCCAATAGATGTAGGTACTTTATAAGGTCCCCAGATGTCTACATGTACTAGTTGAAAAATTACTGCTGCTCTAGTTGTACTGAGGGGAAAAGGTTTCCTAGCTTGTATTGCTAATGGACATATAGTGCATGTATTGAAGTTACAATCTGTAGGCATCTTGTGCTTCAGAAATGTCAACTGTTTCATCACTTTTGCTGGTACATGTCCTAGTCTTCTGTGCCACACATTATGTAACATCTTCTGCTAAACAACCTCTAATTTGTTGCTTGAGCTTATTTGAACTTGATCCATATGGTAACAGCAAGTAAAGGTCACCCTTCTCCTTACCAATCCCCCTCACCTTCCCAGTGCACAGGTCCTGGAATACACAGAATGATGGAAAGAAAAGTGCTGAGCAAAACAACTCCTTAGTCAATTTTGCGACTGACAGTAAGTTGTACTTGAAGTCAGGTACATACAAAACATTCTGAATTAATTCACCATCTGTGATCTTACACTTTCCTTGATACATGACTGGTACTGTTTTACCATTTGGTTGATGAACATTACCTCTTTTGGTGTTAGGCAATTTAGTTATATCATTCAGCAGGTTAATGTTTGAAGTCATGTGGTTTGTTGCTCCAGTATCAATGATCCAAGGAGTATCACACGTTTGAGCCAGTTGAGAATCAGTGTTAACTGCCATGTTGGCTGCAAATTCTTCTCCCTTGTCCTGATTCAAGAGCTTTATTATCTGGTTGTATTGCTCATCAGTGAAGTAATTGTGCATTCCTTGTCTTGCCATATTTGGATCTGCAGTTGTTGTGGCTGGGAGCCCATCATCCTTGGCATGAAATCCATCACCTATGGCTGCATTGGATTGCCTATATTCCTGCTTCTTTTTTCCTTTGAAACCAGGTGGATAGCCCACCAATTTGTAACAAGTATCTTTAGTGTGACCCTTCATTCTGCAATACTCACAATATAGATTTCCATACCTTTTGAACTTCTGTGAATTATCTCTTGAACTCATTAAAGCAGTGGAATCATTCACCTCATTCATAGGTATATTGGTCATATGTACCTTTCTCTGATTCTCTTCATTAATCAACATAGCATATGCACGACTCACACTTGGTGATGGTGACATAAGCAGCATTTGACTTCTAATGGCACTAAAGCTATCGTTTAATCCCATCAAAAATTGAAATTTTTTTTGCTGTTCTAGATGTGTTATGAACTCTCTTGTTTCAGGAATCACAGGCAGAGTAGGGATAAATGCACTATACTCATCCCACAGCAGCTTAAGTCTAGAATTATAAGCAGAGATACTAGAAGTACCTTGAGAGATTGTAGCAATTTCTCGTTGAAGGTTATATATCCTTGATCCATTGATCTTATCAAAGCGATCCTTTAAATCAGCCCAAACTTCATGAGCATTGCTGGCATATACTATCCCGTTCACCAGCTCCGGCGAGACAGTGTTCATGATCCAAGTCAATACTGTAGCATTAACGCGTTCCCAATCCTCGCCCAAATCAGCAGTGAATTGACCCTTGGTGCATGTACCATCTATGAACCCTAGTTTTCTCTTAGCTTTCAACGCAATCTTCATTGCTCTGCTCCAGACCGAGTAATTCTCACTCCCAGTCAAGCGAACAGAAATTATCACATTTCCTGGTGCATCTGAAGGTTGTAGATACAACGGATGTCGCGGATTGTCAATGTTTATCTCAGCCATTATCGATCTGCTCAGAAATTAGAAATTCGAAGAAGTCGAAGAACAATCGAAGAAATTTTCTCAACAATTTCACAGAACAACTCTTAAAGCTAAGTCTTCACAGCTCCGATCGATTCTCTCAGCTTTGATACCATGTTAAATCCACCATTGTTGACTGGTGGTTAGCCACAACTGAGAAGAAAATGAAGACTGTGAATGCAGAACAGTTGCAATATCTGTGTATTGAGAGAGAACTTGTCTAATTACAAGTGGTGTATATCTGATATACACACGTGTATATATACATGTATACAGCTAACTAACTCCTCTTAATTACTACTAACAATCTTCCTAATTTCTGTTATAACTAATTATTAACAACTAATTACCCATAAGCTAGATCCACTAATTTCCAGCTAGTTTCCAGCTGTCATTGCAGCACTTCAACAGTTTGGATGTAGTCACGTCCACATTTAATTTAAGAAGCAATATCAGTGTTTTAATTTCGCCTTTGGAGGTCCACAAATTCATACCATCCGCAAAAATCTAGAAGGGACCCAACAAAACAGAAAAAATGGAGTACATATATATGATGCAGATTGAGAGAATTGTCACAATTTGGTTAAGAAACAGCTGCTATAAATTTCATAGCACCAACTACTCACCGAAAGATTGAAGGGGATAATTAATTTGAGAACTACTTCGTACTAATATTCTCTGTTGAGCAGAAATGAAGGTGGTGGTTGATATCCTTTATATCTTCAAATATTTGGTGACAAACTTTAACATCAGATTCATTTCGTTTTCTTTTCTTTCTCTTATCTGATGAAGACTGAAAATTGATTCATATTGTCAATATCTTATATATGAAGGAAAGACTTTATTTTTTGTGCACAAATAATACAGAGACGGAGCCATAATTTGTTAAAGTTTATGAGTTCAGCATTGTAATTTTTTTAAGTTATTGGATTCTGAATGTACATATTTAATAAATTTCTTAAGATAAATACAGGGTTTGGACAAAAATTACTGGATTTGGCTGATCCCGTAATCCATATATAATAGCTCCGCCCCTCCAACAATGTAATAGAATTTTGCATTATTAGGTTAAATTAACCTAAAGAAACATGTACAATTTAATACCAAGCTTAATTAAGTTAATCTAGAAAATAAATAAGTAATCTATTACAAAAAGTTTAGTCCGGTGCACAAAGTATTACGCGTTCATGCAGAGTCCGAGTAATGACCGCACGACAAAGGGTGTGATGTAATTATAAATAACCTATTATAATTGAATTACCTCCTACGATTAAATTAAATCGATAATAAAAAGAAGTTCTTACTGTGTCGACATATATCCTTAAAACTCCGTGGGGTAGTTTGGTATGATGGATAAGCAAAAATAGTCTTGAGATAATACCGCCTTATTTCTTGTATGGTCACTAATCATGGCATAAATTATTCCAGGATTAAAAATAGTACCGAAATAACTTATACTTGCTAGAGGGTAGAATAGTAATCACAAGATAAGTTATCTCGGGATAAAGCACTAAAATTATCAATCCCAAAATTAATACAACATATCAAACGATCAATAAGAAATAATACTAAAATAATTAATTTCAATATAACTAATCCCAGTATAACTTTTATATATTCAAATCAAATAACCCCTAAAAGAAAAGGTTAAGATTTGTGCCATGGCCTTGTTGTCCAGATATTGTCTTTGTTGCCCTCATAGTTTACCACATTAGAAGCAATGAACCAGAGCAAATAAGACTTATATAAGACAAAATCATTTACTTTCTTTTTTGGCTGCTCACAATTAAGTGAATTTGGCAGATACTTTTTTGGAAGTTTCGTGGATGTTAGAAACCTACTTTAAACACATATAAAGTTTAAGTTTTATGGATTTTGTAGCACACGTAGTAGCCTGTGGACAGGCCAGAAGTAGAATAGAAGTTACGAGTATGGCTGAACTCCGTAGTTTAGTGAAAATTATATATTTATCTTAATAAATTAATCAAATATATATAAATTATTAATTTAGAACCTAATAATTTAAAAGTTTTAGAACTCGATCCTAAACTCATAAGCTTCAAATCTTAGCTATGTCTCTGCTGGCGTACGTTTGTGTGTTTGTGTTTTAAACTTTTCTTCGCTATTAAATTAGAAGTTAAGTTTTGTGCAGCATTGCATACTTATTTATACTATCAGGTTGAAGTAACCTACAGCGATAAATATTTATTACTAATAAACTTAATTTGGAAACTTAAAATGTAAAGAAAATAACTTGCTAGTACGCTAAAAACACACTAATAATGTAAAAACAATTTACAAAATTATTGCATATAACTTAAATCCATTAAGTTATCATCTGCTGCATTAATTAATTGGCTGACTTCTGTCGCAACTGCAAAACTAAATAGCCCAAAAGATTAGGTATATCTGTCACTAAAATACACGACAATATGAGTGCGTCCTTTGCTATAAATAAAGTTAATTGAGACATTATGACAATGAAAGGTTAGACTTTAGATTTCGATAATTATAATCCTTTATGATAATGTGACCACCATATATACCATTCATTCTTTTTTTCCAACAGATAAATTAACACTTTCCAGATCGGGACTAAAACAAAAGATCAAGACTTTTCAAGCTAGTTAGAATTTAGCCGAGTTTTCAATATTACGTTGAATTTATAAGTGAGACTACAGTTTTTTTTTTTTTTTTTTTTTAATTTGTTTTTGTCTTGTTTCTAACATTTGAAGTAAACTCAGAGGTAAGTTACAGTTAATTTCTTGGAGTATAGTTCTTTTAAAACTATACTCCCTTCATTTGGATTTCCCAAAGCATTTTAACCGATTTGATGATCTATCTAATAATAACTTATAGTAATATCTTTAAACAAAGAAATAAAAAGCTTTAAAATATAAATAAGACAAACATGAATCTAAGACAAATTACATTACTTAACGTGTCGAAAAGAAAAGGTACAGATATCATCACCTGATTGAGATGACTAACATATATACAAATATTTGTTTTCAAACCATGGATATTACATAATATTGTAGAAATTAAATAAACTAATTAATTAAAAGCAAGAAAACGTAGAAATAATGCTCCGAAAATCTACATAGGTAAAAAATCCTTGATATGAAAATCCAATTGTTGAACTATAAAAATTCAGCAAGGACATTTTTCATCAAGAAATTGGTGATAATGAGGTTTGTTTTCTCAGTGAGATGGAAAGAGTCCCAAAACACGTACTTGTTTGCGTCTGTGCATGTAAATGGATTTAACTTATCACACAAGTAACTCATTTCAAATAATCCTGTGCCACAACATGCTATCCCTGCCACCTCAAATCCTGATTTAAAATTATTCATTAGATAATTACCCCAAAATGTCAAAGAGATGATATTGAAGACCGTCAAGTAATCAATCCAAAGAAATGTATATCTGCATTCTTTTCAAATTATATGGCATAGTTTGACTCGTACAGAGTTTAAGAAATAAAGAGAGAGGAATACTTTGATAAATGGTACTAATAAATATGTCCTTACATTTCTGTGGCCATAAAAATTATTATTAGAAGTAAAATGAGAAATTTAAGTTACATTATTTACGAATTATGAAAAGTGTCATTATTTTGGAAAAAATTAAAAGAAAATAATATCACATAAACAAGAATGGAGAGAATTATATATATTGAAAAATCTGGCTTCTTTGGAAGAAATGAAGAATTACCTTGAGATCTTTTAAGAGTTACAAGTACTTACTAAATTTTTAATTACGAGTAGCTAGCTAGAAATTACTTATTTGTGGAAGAACAATTGTGACAATAAAATATTACCTAAGAGGAACAAAATAGGATTTGAAGGATTTAGCTACTTTTAGGGGCAATGCATTATTACTTAGGCAACAAGAATTGGAAGGTCCAATTAATTAAGCTTAAAAGTATTTATCGCCCACTTCAATTCATAATTGAAACGAGTAGGGAAAAAACAACACTCTCATGATCTTATATTATTGTTATAATTGGGGTGACTATGGGAAAATCTTGTGAAATAGCACGGGCTACCCAGTTTTGGACTAGTAATCGAAAAATAGCCAACGTTTGCAAAGTCATTGAAAAATAATCGCTGTTTGCTGAAACACGAAAAGTTCCAGCATAATATGCTGGATTATGGAGCTCGTGCGTAAAAACTTCCTGCATATTATGTTGGAACTCTTGCACGCGAAAAGTTCCAGTATAATATGTTGGATTATGAAACTCCTGCATTTAAACTTCCAGCATATATTATGTTGCAACTCCAGCACATTACGAAATTCCAGCACATTATGTTAGAATCTCATATGTAAAAAATTCGAACTCCAACATATTATGCTGGAATATTTCCAGATTTTTAAGGATGTTTTTGTTCAGATTTTATCTTTACATGAAAAAGTGGCCAAATTTCGATTACATTTTGAAGTTGTGGCTATTTTTTAATTACCAGTTGTAAATCTGGCTATTTTTTCCGAAATCTTGACATATAAAACTTAGAAACTTAACCTAATTTTATGAGTCAATTATTTAATGGAAAAATGGATAAATAATTAAAAGAAAAAACTTACCAAATGAAGAAGGATTTTTGATCATTTGAAGCATGAGATCATAGGCGTCAGAAAAAACAACTCTAATCCCAGGAAGCTCCTCATTTAGTTTCTGAACCAAACCCTTCAACATCACATTAAAATGTACAGCCACTTCATTATATTTCTCAATGCAACCATCTCCACTTCCTCTTATATAATTAGTTGCTCTTTCTAAAGGTAAACAACCCATAGGAGGAAGTCCAGCTAAGGAAATTTTCCTAGCTCCTAAATCATAAATTTGCTTCACAAACTTCTCTGCAAGTTGAAGAAGGAAGACCTGAAACTGTTCTATTGTGTATTGAGATGCACGTTTGCTTTGCATTGAATAATAATTCTCCAAAATATCGTTTGTTCCCATGCTGATAAGATATAAGGATTCCTCTATTATGTATTTGGCTTTTCTGGTTCCTGCATATGCTTCTAGTTTCTTCTGATAATCTTTGTAGTTCTCTACTTCTTTCCACAGGGGTAACACATTCTGTGAAAAGGAACAACACATTGAAGCCAATCAAATATTTTACCCATAAAAGAATTAGTATACTATTAATATATGGATTTAAGTTATATACATTGTTAGTGTAAACAACTTTTTACGCTCTATCATGTTACCCAAAGGAAATATGCAGGTAAGCCTACTTAAAATGGTAAAAATAGCACGGTCTAGCCAGTTTTCGGACTGGTCATTCAAAAATAGCAACCGTTTACCAAGTCAATGAAAAATAGCCACTATTTTGCTGCAACAGAGACCGGTCCAGCATAATATACTGGAGTTCGGTGCACCTGTGTATGAACTTCCAGCATATTATGCTGGAATTCCAACACACGGAAAGTTCCAGCATAATATACTGGAGATTCGAGCACTTGTGTATGAACTTCCAGCATATTATACTGGACCGGTATACTTTGTTTTGTAACTGGTGAACTTCAGCTCTAGAGCTGAAGTTTTTGTTTTGTAACTGGCGAAGAGCTGAAGTTTTTGTTTTGTAACTGGCTTATGTTTTCATGCTTCCCAGAGGCTTAAACTAAACCATCCATCAAAACAGATGATGTTAAGAGATGGCACAAATAAAGGGGTTTTCGTTGTGATTCAAGCCAGTTAGTCTCAACATAAACAGATAAAAAATTTGTGCATTTTTTCTACAACGAAAAGTTTTCAACGCACTTATACAGATTTATGATAAGCTGATTTATTTATTCAAACCAGTTAGTTTTAGTTAGCTGCTGCTTCAACGCATCTATTGCCACCATTCAATCAAGGAGGGACCTTTAGTCACGGACTTAAGAAAGAGGTTGAGGGCGGATATAACTTTGAGGAGGAGAAGGAGGAGGAGAAAGGGGGCTGAAGTTGTTTAGAAAGTGAGTACAAATTAAAAGTTTTAAAAAAATAGGTATAGGTTAAATGGGGGCAATCAAATAAGGCGCCCCGTACAATTTTTACGTTTAATATTGTCTTCTAAGTGCTAAACTAATTAAATTTGGTGCAAAGATTTGGGTTGCGGGCAGTAAGTTTTTCCTGTACTCATCGCATTATTTATCATTTTATCCTTCCCAAAGAGCAGATCGGAGCTAATAATAATTCCAAAACGGTACTTTCTGTTGATATGCTAAACTTTTGCCACTTTTCTTCCAAAATAATATTTTAACAGATTTAACAAGACGTACTACAAAATCAATAAAATATGAACGCACTCACCTACTTAATTATGTAGATTAAGGGTGTACAAACCGAATCGAAAAACCACACCAAACTGAAAAGTCAAACCAAACCGATTAAAAAATCCAACTTGGTTTGCTTTGAATTGGTTTGATATTGAGTAAAAAAATCCGAACCAACCCGACATATAAATCTATTATTTTTATATATTTTTTTAAGATTTTATATAAAATTTTGTTTAAAAAAATATCTAGAAATATTTGGGATTCTCTTGCAGGATACAAATTTTAATAGAATATGAAGTGCTCCATATTTATTGACCTTAACTAATGGGTTGTATGATCACTTTCTTATCAAGTGTTACTGAAATACGTCTATCTCTTTGTTCTTCCATATTCATATCATATGTTAAGATCTATCAAATTCTTATATCTTTTTCGAATGTGAAGTGATTATTAATATTTAGGTATCATATTGATTTTTATATTTAATTACTAAATTCGGTTAACCTGAAAGTGTATATCAACGAAAAATTATTGTCATGCGAATAAAAAAATAATTATTATGTTACTAATATAATTTTCCCATTAGAATATTTTAATTGATAATATATTTGTCAATTTTTTATATTTTTACTAAATAGATATATACTTATCAAATATTTAACGAAGTAAGATTGAAATAATATGTAAGTAACAAAAAATCGGAAAACCCGAAAAATCCGGCAAAACCGAACCAATCCAAACCGATATAGTTGGTTTGGTTTGGTTTTGATAAAATCGAACCAACCCGGTCCATGTACACCCCTAAGGCCATCTACCCCCATTCCCCATAATGGGGGCGATTTTTGGGGTAATTTAGCTCCAACCCTCCCTCATTTTTGTCCCCAAAATGGGGGATGAATAGTATTCCCTCAAATATGGGGTACACTATTAATCTCCCCCATTACTATTCATCACTTTTTTATTATTATTTTATTATTTAATCTTTTAATTTATCTCTTTATATATACCTAATTATGTTTATGTAATGTCTTTATAATATTAATTTTACATCTTAACTTTGGTGTATAATTTGGATAAATTAATTTTCGTGCATTTATTATTTTTACGTAAAATTGTAACTTAATTTTATTATAAGTTATAATTGTACAAAAAATATATAATTATCTCAAAAATTAAATGGCGCAAATATAAAGTATTAGATGTTGCTAAAATTGAAAGGTGCGAATATAAAATATTAGATGTTGCTAAAATTGAAAAGAAGATTGAAAATACATTAAAATTGGAAATACATGACAATTGAAAATACTTTAAATTAGAATACATAAAAATTGAAACTACGGTAAATAGCATAATAACTTAGTAGGGAGCTATATCGTTTCCAGATACACCAAAATCATTATAGTATTTCGAATGAATTTTATCGATATGTAATATGTATTTAATTAATCTTGTATAGTAATGATTTCACTTTTATTTGAATTATTAGTTAATCTATAATAATTACTTACAAATTATATTATTTAAAATTTTATGGAATTATTTTAATGGAAATTACAAATTAATAAAAATAAAAGATGGAATTTGGTTAATGGAAATTAAAAAATGAAATTGAAATGAAAGATAATAATATAATATAGAAGAGAGAGAAGAATATAAAAATGTTTAGAAAAAAAAAATAGAGAAATGGTTAGAGTAAGTTGTCCCCAAAATGGGAAAATCCCCATTTTAGGAATTAAAAATGGGCTAAAGATTGGAGATGCCCTATAGGTAGATAATAAATAGATTGTAACACTACGTTCCATCGACAAACACGAATATTCAATTCGGAGCAACAATTTCCGACTTTAATAAAAACAAGGCCTACTTTTTCCTTTTATTTAAAGCAACCTCGTGTGCGCACGAGAGTGGCTGACGAGTGCCCCATCTACCCAACGAACACAACATATCACTATTATTTTTTCTATCCGAAAATAAAAAATAAAAAATCAAAAGTTCATCAAAAAATTTGAAGTTTATGAGTTTAAGATTTTACTACATTCTAAGTTATTGAGTTCTATAGAGTAGTATTTTGTTTATATTAGGTGAATTTTATAAAACAACTTATAGAATTTAAACCAAAATTATTAGGTTCGGCCGAACTCATACCTTACCTTGTATCTCCCTCAAGCTCCGCTAGATAAAAATGTTTTATGCCTCGTATAAACATTATGATCAACTTATGCCGATCAGAGTAATATTTAAAAAAATTACATAATTGTCTACAAAAGTAAAGTTAACAACTTGACAATAAGACATATTATGCTACAACAAATTAAAATAGACTGATTAGTAATCTTGTACAGTGTGTATATAGATTAAATTCGACCATAAATATTATAGTACTCTCTTTGTTCAGTTTTATGTGGTACTCAAAAATTTAACTTTTAAGTTTCTTATTTACCCTTAATAACGTAACTTTATAGCTACACAATAATTTCTTTTTAGGTTTCTTTATCAATCAATATTACCTCATAATTAATTAACACGAGGGAATAAGAATGGAGTAGTAATTAAGTAGAATAAGAATGAGAGCTTACAAGAACATCAGAGGTAGCATTATCATAACCAGTACCGGCAGAAGCAAAGCAAACACCACCAGCAAAATCAGATATTTTATACATGGGATCCAAATAAGCTGGCACAAATGCCCTCAAACCAAAACCCTCAGATATAAAATCTGGTGGAATACGTCCATTGCAGAATCTTCCTGTTGGTCTTTTGTCATAAAAATCACGGCCATAAGGCTCGAAATTGCTCTTAAGAAGAGTAGATATCTGGTTGTTGTTGCCAGCATCAACGGAGGAGTCGCCGAATACTATAATTGCTGGAACTTTTCCTGCCAAAGAAGTAGTGATTAGTAGCAAGAATTGGACAAGAATTAGTATCAGCCATGGAATATTGAAGTTGTGAGCTTCCATTCTTTTGTTTTTTTTGGTGATTTAGTTAAGGTTGTGGGGGTTTGAGGAGGCATATTAACTTTTTATACAGGTGAATTGGGTGGGAAAGAGGGTCCTTTGGCAGGAGTTTGTTGGTATCATTAATGGCGAAGGAAAAATCATATATTAACATGCATTTTGATACGAAGGAAAATACTTTTTTCATGAAATATACTTTTTGTAGGATATCTTAAAAAAATAATTTTACAGATCAATTGAAGTATGTGATGTGTGACAATCGTACGAGGTGAAGTGATTGTACTTTGGCAATATTTCTAACTACCTCGGTGTTGAAGGTTAATTAATAAACATGAGTTAATTTGGGTTAGCTAACTGTAAATACTGCCTAATCCCTTCCATCTACAATAATTAATTTTTAAGGTTTTTGGCATACCCATTACTTAATAACGTTAATTAAGAAAGTTATTTAAATTATCTTTTATCACTCGTTCATATAAATTAAGAAGTATTAAAAAATTAGAAATTTGTTTAAATTATTTATTAGACAAAGCTAAAAAAAATTAATATCTTCCCGGCTCTTAAAACAATCACTTACTCCATATTTTGCACCATATTAATTTGAATACCTAAAAGAAATCACTTTTGTGAACCGGGACGGAGTAACTTACATGCAATAAGTGCTGACACTGATGTTATGAGTAATAGAGTACATGTTTAGATAAAAGTAGGCCAAATACATATAGAGACAATTAAACTTGACCCAATTTTTTATTTTGGCACTCTAACTAACTCTTATTCCATTTTGGCCCTCCAACTCCAATTTTTGTGTTCCATTTTGACACAAAATTTTTTTCTCCCAGGTAAAAATGCAGCGCGTGCATTTCAGCTGCTACCCCACCCCACTGCCCCCCCCCCCACCCCCGCGCAAAAAAGTTTTTTTTTTTTTTTTGTAATTTCAAATTATTATTTTTTTTCATTTTTTCTGCCCACATCACATGGAAAAAATAATTTTTTTTATATTTTCAGTAATAACTATGGGTTCAACTAAACCCATAACTTTCGACGCGGAGTAAAAATTTGTATGTAAAAATTCATTAAAATTATAAAAAAATAGATATAAACCCATAACATTTAAAAGTATAATGGGTTCTTTTGTTCCACTTTGACACAAAAACTTTTATCCCAGGTAAAAATGCAGCACGGAAAAATATCCAGCTGCTACCCCCATCCCATACCCCCCCCCCCCCCCACAATTGTTTTTTTGTAATTTCAAATTATAATTTTTTTTTTGTTTTTTTTGCCCTCCTTCCGTGGATATATATATATATATATATATATATATATATATATATATATATATTTTCAGTAATAACTACGGGTTCAACTGAACACATAACTTTCGACGCGGAGTAAAAAAAGAAAGATTTTTGAAATTTGTGGTCTTAAAAGCTTAAGGGGTAAAGCTTTGTGGGGCCATGACTTTTGTGTGGTTATAAAAGCTTCTCATTAAGGGTAAAATGGGTAAAATGAGGAGTTTAAAGTTGAGTTATTTCCAAATTTAGAAATGTGTCATTTATTTTAGAACAGACTAAACAGAAAAGTACCTCATTTAATATGAAACGGAGGGAGTATGATAAAAGTTGGAATATCTTAAAAACAAAATTATTTCCATCTCAATGAGTGACGAAATCTTTTTTTCCTTTTAATTAAATGGGTTCAACAATTTTGTCAGCGAGAAGGGCAGTAGAGTTTGATTGTGGCAATTAATGAGACTGATAAGGACGCACGTAAATGACCGGCTTTGTGATTTCTTACTTCTCAGCAACACTGTCTGTTTCTCGACTGCCACTTTCTTTAATTCGAATCGGAAATTGCACTTCTGTATCTCTGCCCATTCACTCGGTGAATGCTTGGCTTTGATGACACCAATACTCCTATATATGTTTTAAAAGCATCTCTTATGTTTTGATTAAATGCCAAAAAAAAAAGATAGCAAATTTTAATAAGAAACTAGAATTTGGGCATAACGTAATCCAAAAGATTAGCTCATGTGATGAGTATTATCGTAAACAAACAATATATAGCAGGAATGATGGGTTTTCAATGTCTTTACCTTATGTTTTGATGATCTAACAAACTTACTGTCAAGAACCAAATAGGGAACCTGACACACTTGGTACACATTACAAATGAACGAAGTCCAGCCTGAACTCCAGCCAATGTGAACTGCTGCAAATAAAGAGAAAAGAGGAACAATACAGGGACCTGATCCTTGGGTGTTCTCTGACAGAAGTATAAGTCAACTATACAGCTGGAAGGCAACTGTACACGCGACAGTGCAACAGACAGTGCAGCAGTCACTTCCCATTGGGAAGAGGCGTATACCTACCAAGACTTGACATCATCTTTGGGATGTCTTTGGTAGTATAGCAACATGGTGCAAGGCACAAGATACTCACTTGAGCATTTAGTGATATTCTCTCAAGCACAAAAATATCTGATCCAGCATTGAAGTCACAAGTGTGTCAAGAACAAGAAGACAACTCCACTAAGGATCTGTTCCACAATGAGTCTATGTGTGTCCGTAGTTGAGTTGTAATCTTGTTGTTTGTTCTTTATTGTAACTCCTATCCTGCTTTCTTAGAAGCTTTGTTTTAGGAAACTCAAAATCATAAACCGTCTGAGTTTGTGTTGTGACTAGAGTTAGTCATAAGTTAAAAGTCTTTGTAACTAGAGAGTGACAAAGTGGCTTGTGGCAAGTGTATCACAAGTTAGTTGAGTTGAAGTCTTTGTAACTAGTGAGTAACAAAGTGGCTTGTGGTAAATGTATCACAAGTTAGTTGAGTTGAAGTCTTTGTAATAGTCATTATAAAGTGGCTTGTAATAGTATGTTTACAAGTTAGTGAAGTTGAAAGCCTATAGGTGTAGCTCGTGGTTTTTGTCCGCTTGAGTTGGGATTTTTCCACGTAAAAATTCCGTGTCTCATTTACTTACTGCTTCATTAGTATTCTCAGTGGAAACTAATCTGAGGACCAGGTACTCTACAGTGTGGTGGATCCATATAAATTAACAATTGGTATCAGAGCAGGTTCTTTCTAAAAGGCTAACACCTAGAAAGGATCTCAATGGCTGCTTCACCTAACTTTGAAGAAGGACAATCTACCTACAGACCTCCTAGATTCAATGCTCAGTACTACGGCTGGTGAAGACTCGTATGCATGATTTTATAATGGCTGAAGACTCAGACTGTGGGACGTCA